TGATTCAACATTTATACAAAGTAATGGTTGCTACGTAAAAGGTTAAATTTGTAATTTCATAATATATCTTGATAGTAACCACTACAGCTGGCAACTATGGTTATTTTAAGGAATGCATAAGGTTATCTAACTTAGTAAAAATGCATAGAAGTAGGTATGCTACAACGTTGCTCGTTTAAGTCTTTAAAAGATGGCGTCTGACCCTACATAGCGTAGGTCAAAGTGTGATTCGAGAAGACCGCAAGATTTCTTCTTAGCTGACTCTGATGCTAGCTAGTTTCTACATATACCATTATTACTATTTTAGAAGCGGTTGAGCCACCTTGATTTTTGCGACATCTAAAAAGTTAAGCTAATGAGACATGGGTAAAACATACAGATTACGTGCTTTTCAAAAAGAATAAGCCAACTGCGGCCTTTTAATCTTGCCTTAATCTAAAGAGCAAAGTTAACTAAAAGGCAAAGTAGTATACCTAATAAAACAATAATTTGTCCCTTTTAACCTTAGTTTTTCTTGTTTGGGGTTACTGCTTTTTAAACGCATCGAGAGAGTATAAAAGTATTTAAAAAAGCGGTTGCGAATGTTTAACAATGATCCCTGGCTCAATTTCACTAAAATATAATATTGAAATTATAAAAGAGTACATTAAAGCGTTGGCATGAACACTATAAAACTACGATAAAGGAATAAAGGAACGGGAGTTGTTTTACTATAAGCGATCAAGCCTTTTGTATAACTTTATAAAAAGGTTAAAAAGCCTTTCCACTAATATATATATTTGTAGATCAACGGTGGTCAAATTTTGTTCAGGAGTGCCACTTATTTCACTAAAATATTTGACGCGCCACATTTTTTATTTCTACATTCTTCTGAAATACAATGCATGTACCCCTACCCTACTAATTCATCTGAATCGGGTAATAGGTTAAAAGTTTTTACCTTCCTAAATTTTTTTAGGTAAATAATTTTATTGTCAAGCTTTTTATTATAAAATTTATGAAATAAAACATTATCCCACTTGTTCAACCTAAAACTGGCCTTAAACACTAGATTACTATTATCAAAAAACCACATTATCAAACACAGATCACTCTGTTATTAAATAATCTAAATAAAATGTAAATATACTTATGCTTATGTTAAAAAAAAAGGCAATTTGTGGGGACCCGAGAAGAATAAAATTTTTTAAATCTTTGTCGGTTAATACTGCGCGATATTTATTTTTAATGATATTCATAGTTAAAAATGTTTTCTCACAAATATAAGTGCAGTCAGTTCTACAAAAGTAACGGAGCGCAAATTCAAATTAACTTGGATAAATCAGTTCTGGGTAGTAGTTTTCAAACGAGGCAAACTTTTGACTGGAAGCGTTTCCTAGCATGTCCTTAGGTTTTCCATGCAATGTCCACTTGGGGGTGAGCTGGATAAATAGCAACCCCGGTAGATAAAACTGAAAAAGGATTTGAGAAAAGCTGCACAAAGTTAACATCCTCTTGAAAATCGGTAGATCTCCCTTCATAGGATTGTTTTAGGAGAAATACTTGTTTTAAAAAATTCGTGAAGTTTTGAATTTTTGTTTTTGCCATTAGTTCTTGCATTCGAGCAAAATGGTGCAGTTCGCCTTTACCCAGACGCTCTTCGGAAAGTGACAGTTTAGATTTGAAAGATAGAAACAAACCGAACAAGATGGGGAAAAAAATAGTTTTGCCTTGCAAACGCTCATTTAAATTGTTTAAAGGACTCATAATATCTGCCATAAAAGCTAAATTCACAACCAATCTTTATTTTTGAGAAGTGAGCACTCATATGGGAGTGAATCACTCTCTTCTAAATATCCCACAACTAAGTTTTTTAAATTTCAAAACCTTTTTTTTTTCAAGGGCTTTACCTCAAGATAGCCAACGAACCGTACAATGTAACAGTAATTCAAGCTTTCTTCTCTTTCATTTAAATTTGTGAGAAAAAATTAGTGAAATCCCCTTCTTTGAAGAACCCTGGCTTGAATGTGGTTGAAAAATTGTATCACAGGATTAAAATAGAACGAAAGTGTATATCCTTGGCACAGAGATCTTCTTGGTGAATAATGCAGTGGTATTTAAGAACTTTGCTTTTTAAATATTCTTCCAACAACCTTACAAAACCTTTTACCTTCCCGGTCATTGCCGGGGCTCCAATTTGTCCCAGTTTAATTGATAATTATCAATTACATTTTTAATTTCCTTGAAAAACATTTTCTCCTTTACTAGATTTTAGCTGCCGCATTTTGAGAATTTCTTCTTTAATATCGAATTGTTCGTTGACACAACGCGTATAAATGCACAATTGTGCAGTGTCAGTTACATCGCAGCTCTCGTCCAAAGCAAGATAAAAGTAGGAGCACGGTCATATGGTGAAATATTTGTTTACCAACATCGTCGGCCATTTCTTCGAGTTTTCTTATAACAGCGTTTCTTGAAAGGGTGATATCATCAACCAGTACAGCACCAACGCAATAGTTACGGCTCTCGACCCACTGGTGTGTAAGTCACTGCAGTGAGTGGAGGGAGGGGGCCGAGGAACCGCATGCCACATAAAATGATTTCGCGTACCACGGTTGGCACCCCTTGTTCAAATGAAATTTAAGATTCTTTCATTTAATTCGGTTCCGTTTAAGATGCGACAGAATCGATAATACCCGTATTATATACATAAATAATTGGTTTACGTTGCCCCCGATGTATATTTATAATCGCTTTTATTTTAAAAAATATTAGTTTAGGACATTTTTAGTTGGTTTATCCTTTAGTCACGTTTTCTGTGTAATTTAATTTTGTTTAGTGCATGTGTGTAAGTTGTTTGTTTGCGATAAAAATACCTTTATTACTGTGGGTGAACATAGTTGCCCGTGGTTAAGATGTTTAATAACATATAAAAGAGAAGATAATCTAAGCGTCCCCCATAGCTATTTAAATACGCAGTTCCGTCTTACCGGAATCGAGAGTTCTCCTCGTAGCTCAGCGGTGACTTGAAGCGCATACTCATGGTCATGGGACCAATTCCCCACGACGCGACTCTACTTTTCGGTCTTTAATAATCTTGTATTGAACCTTAGCCTCATTAAATTCTAATACCCTAAATCAAGACCTGCTTTGCGTAATTAAGTAGTGACTATCGATATAAATAGCAAGTTAAAAATCATTCTGACTTGAGTAATTAGAGATGAAGAAGAAAAAAATGTTTAATTTGACTGTCTATTGTTAGGGAGTAATAAAGTCTGTAAAATGAAAAAAATTATAAAAAAGGTGGAAACAGTGTTTACATTGTTAGTGTTTTGATTATATAAAACAACCCCTTAAGGCCTTTTAAAAGCTGTAATGATTTTAAAGACTTTTAAAATATAAATCTTTAAAGCGTATTACAAACTTAGTTACAAAGTAAATTATATGTATTTTTAAAATAGGAATGTTAAAATTTTAAGGTCCAACTTTCTTCCTTTAGTCACGAATATGCTCACAATAAACTTCATGTAACTATGTTTGATCGCTTTTAAACAGAGTAACGTACTGAGATTAAAAGATCTTAAAAGTTATAATAATAAAATATGACCAAAGTCACGGAAGTGCGTCTAAAAGCTATTGTAAGAAAGATGGTACAAAGGAGTGACGTTAATAGCACCATGCACCGGTTCGGAGCCGTCAACATGATTCGATCACAACCCTGCTGGTGATGTAGTAGTGCTAGTACAAAGAGACAGCCATACACACAATTCGACACCAGCACGGTTCTGTTTTTAAGTTAAAACAATTTTTTTTGCCGGCACAGTAAGGCGTAAATATGGGGTCAGCGTGCACCTTGGAAACGTCAAGGTTACTTTTTTTAACCCTTTAACAAGCAAAACTCTGGGGCTTAAATTGATTTGTTTTAAGTTCACTGGTAACTAAAGTTACCACTTTTTTAATTTTTGTTGGTTGCTGTCTAATCCGTTAGTACATGGTACTCAAACTTACCAGAGTTGTTTTGGGGATCGCGCCTGTCGTTTAGGGTCTTCCATAGACCTCCTTTTGCAAATTAGACCTAGGCGACAATTGCTAAAAATAGTAACTGGTAACCTTTGAGGGGATAGTCATAATACGATTATGAACCTTGCAACTTACGGCGGTGTGTGCGTGGCATAGCGTTTATGTGTCCTCTAACAGTTTATCATCAAAATAATTGTTTTAGGTTAATATCATATATATCTCTTTTTTCTTTAAAAACCTTTTTTTTACTTATAATTATAATTATTGCATTTCTTCTAGTATATATTTTACATAACTTACCAAATTATATCCTTACTTTTTACATTTCTGACTACTTTTAATTTATACATACATGAACTTTTTAATCCTTTAAATTTTAGTGAGAAACTAAATACAGGCTATAACTTTGGTCAATTGCTTAAAAGCTTAGAAGATTCTTTAACTTATTTAGCTATAGATAAATCTATTATTGAAATAATTGTACAAATTTTTTGCTTTTATTATTATCGTTGAATTATAAAACATTTTATAAGCTAGAGAACGAGAAAGAAATCAGTAAAAAGTATAAAGAAAATGGAAAAAATATTGCAATAAATCCTTTCAAAAGTAGGTTAATAATATATAGTAATAAAAATTTTTTTAAGTTAATGAAAGAATTAAATTATATTGAAAGTGGTAATAGAAATATTATATTACATGTTATCAACAACACTGACATCTATAATAATTATTAATAATAAAGAATTTATGGTCAATCCACTGAATTTTATATCACATGAATTTCCAATTACTTCTCTTGATAGTAAAGATGGTTCAACTATTTTATATCATATCAGAAGTTTATTTATTTTTGCTTTTAAAAGGTTTAATTGCATCCGTAGATACTTTTGGAAAATGCAAATTGTCTTCTATCCATGTATATTATTTAATTAGAACTAATCTAATCTTTTTTAAAAGACTATTTTTTATTTCGTAAATTTATTTACTAGAATAAAAACTCAGTTGCTTTTGAAGAACTTGAGGATTCCTATTATCCTGAATTTGGCTGGAGTGGAATCAGCATTATTGATTCTCATAATGTTTTCCTTTTTATGATTTATATATAATTAATAGATTTGATTCGAAATTAGTTTGTCTCTGTGAATCGCTATAGAAGAAGTCTAATTTTTTATGCTGATCAAAATGTTAGTAGGTTCATTTCGTTAGCGCATTGCCCTAGGTTTGTTTAGTTTTTATAAGGATTTAATAATTTCTTAGAATATTATTGTCTATAAAATCTTTACTTGTCTTTTTACTTTTAGCAACATAAATATATTTAATTTTTTAAAATTTTTAGCATAGTACATGATTTACATAGAGAGTGGTATATATCTCTTAAAAATTTGTTTATTATATTAATCGGATTCCTACTATTTATATTTGCCAATAAGTTATTTTTTTTAGTTTTTCTTTAAAATATTTTAAAAATTTAAGCTTTTAAAATGAAATTTGGTATAGAGTAAGATTTTATTACTTTTTATTTGTTAATAATTTATGTTTTTTTTTAAGTTTATACTAAATATTTATAGAAAATTGTCAGAGAGCTTTTTATGAAAAATATATTTAAAAACTCTTTGAAAGTTTATATACTTTTTTTTATTTTTTTTAATACTTTTAAAGTTTTTAAAATATTAGTTGTACTTATTTTTATATATGAAGCACTTCATAATGTTTTCATAGTTAACTTTTATAACCAGTTTTTTTGCTATAATTATTTATTAACTTTTAATAAATATATATACATAGTTTTTTTTAATTTTTTAATTATGTTAACTTTGTTGTAAGCTTTTAATTTTTTGTTATAATAATTTTAAGTATCTATAAATTATATTTTTTTTAATTTTGAATAATTATATTATTTTAATAATAATATTAGTTCAGTTTGTACTCTTGACTTTGAGCAAAGCAGTAATACTCTCACGGCCGTTACAGAATTTAATCAAGTTAGTATTTGGGACCATCGACTTTCCGAAAAGGAAGGGCACGTGTCGCAGCTTATGGTTTTTTTATGAATATACTATTTTATACTTTTATAAAAATATAATATACATAAATCAATTTAGTTTGTATTGGCTATTCCTCTATTAGTTTTTATTTATCTTATATATTTTTAAGCTTGAAATACTGTATTATAATAATATTTCCTGTGGGAACAGCTTACAAATCTTTGTATTTTTTTTTATTTATTGCAAAATTTTTATTGGTTATGTTATGAATGAAATCCCCTAATTAATGTGAGAAAAATTGGAACAACCCTAATTTATAACCATTTTTTTGCTAATTCTATATCATATCGGTTTTCTCTTTTCGCTAGTAAAATTCGTTGTTTAACACTTCACAGTTGTCTTATAGAAAATTTTAACTATAATGCTTTTTGCTATTCATTAAGGTTATTTACTACACTTTGGAGCGCTTTTTTCTAAAGCGAAGAATATTTTATTTGATAACAATTGAAAGTTTTTTTTTGTAGATATTATAATTTTTTTTACTACATTTACCTTTTTATAGTTATTTTCTTATGAATACTGTTTGCATATGTATATATATATATGTTGGAATACTTCTTTTTGTTCAGTGTGCTATTCTTCTTTTGAAATTTTAATACTTCGTATATATTTTTTTTTAAAAAACGTTGAAATCATTTATAAATGATGTTTTACTATAAATACCCCTTCATTTATTATATTTTTATTAATTTTTTATAAAAATGAAATAATTATTTTATTATAAAAATTTGTTTTCTTTTATATATTACTGTTTTTATATTAAATATTATTTTGTTTTTATAACTGTTTTATAAACTTTTTAAATTTCTTTTTATTATAATATAATGATTTTTTTAATTCTTTATTATAATATTACTTTTAATTTGTAAAGAACTATAATTATATGTTTTTCTCTTAATTTCAACATTATTTACTTAAGTATTTTATGTATTCATATCGATTTATTTAGTAATATTTTTTTATAATAAATTTAAACTTTTGTTATTTTTTAAACTTGCAATAAAATTTATTATTTTTATTAATAATAATATCTATGGTTATTTACTTATTTATTATAAATTTATATATATATATATTTATATAATACTTTTCAAACCTTTATTGTTATTATTATGATATAAATATTAATTATTAATTTTTTCATAAACTGTTTTAATATCTATTACCTTTTTTTACAAAATCTTTCTATATTATCTTCAATTATTGTTTTTAATATAGCTTATTATATATCCTAATTTTTAACTTATTATAAATATTTATTGTAAATGTAAATTTTAGACTTTTTTAATATCATATATAACTTTTCTGCACAAATTTTTTATTATTATAAACTTTAAACTTTTATATATTATTACATTTTTTATAATAATATTTTGTTTCCAGACTTGTTAACTTTTATATTATTTAAATACACTTTACTTGTTATTATAATATCTCTAAATTTTAACTCATAAAACATTATTTTTAAATTGTCATTATTTATATTACAGTTTTTGTATATTGCTGTATCTATCTACTTATTATATTTATTGATTAACTTAAAAAATTTTTTTCTTGTTCTGGCAAACTTTATATGTTTATAAACAAATCTAACTTTTTAATGTTTTTCTAATGTAATTAAATTTATATTAAAGACTTTACACATTTTTATAACTTATAGTTCTTATTGATAATTTATAGCTTTTTAAATGAATCCTAATTATTAATATCTATTATATCCGTATTATATAACTTTAACCTGAAAAACTTTATGCAGTTCTTATTTGTTACAAACTCAAAATTTTATTCGTCAGCCTGGAAATAAAGAACTTTTTACTTCCGCTGGGAATCGTCAAGCCCTTGCGGTTGCAGGAAAAGACAGAAATGTTTATATTTATGACCCACGCAAGTGGGCTGTTCGTAGTGTTTGGAAATCGGCCTTGAAACACGAGGTCCGTTTTATATTATTAATTATTGTTATAAATTCATTATTATAAATATTGAAGATTTTACGTGTTTTTCTATCTGAAGCACGAAATGGTTTTTGCTATGCATTCGGCAAAATTGACGGAGAGGTAAAGTATAATTCCACTATATATTTATATTTTTCCTGATATATTATTATGAAAAAGTTTGCTTGTACCTCTTTGTCTAGAGAAGACTCGAACACTTCTCAATCAAAAACTTTTGATAACTTCCGTGCTGAAAGTCGTTGGATTGGTGCTTCCAAGGGAAGTTTTTTTATTAATTTAGTATATAATATTAATATAATTCTATTTTCCCGAAAAATGTAAACTAAAGATAAACATTTATATTAATTCATTGGTCAAGATTATTTTTTAATGTTTTAGTTACTTATGGTTATTATTTTGATAATAATCATAACATGGTAAACGTAGTTTTTTAAATGGTTTATTATTTTATCCATCTTTCTATTAGTTTTAAATATTATCCCAACAATGAATTATTAAGCAATTTTTCCGATTGTAAAACCCTCATGAGGGCAATAAATAATTTTTTTATTTGATTCGTTAGTGAAATCCTCTATTGGCTGCGTGGTCATTGCAATGTTGTTTGGGAAAATTAATTATTGTTTCTGAATATTCCAGCTTTTCTTGTCTGGCGATCTGTCTTGCCTTATAGCCACTAGGACTGTTTTCCATGCAATACCTTTATAGAAAAAAACGTTACATTTCAGTTTTTTTTTTCTCGGACTTTAATAAATCCTCCTGTGCTTTGTTCACTAAACATCTGCACTTTTCACCGGAGGAGAAGATAATGTTGATGCTTAATGTCGTTACAAGGATACAAATAATATATAATATTATCTATACTTGAAGTCTTTTTCTTGACACACACATGTATTCAGTATACATATTTACTACTCTTGTGATAGCTGCCAGCTCTATTAATAAGGTCCTGTTAGAGTATTGGTTAATGGCTGGTGCAATCGCCCGTGAGGACTGCTCATGGGCTTCTATGTGAGACCATTATTATAGAAATTGAGAAACCTGCAAAACTATTAGTATTAAGAAAAAATAGATTTACCATTAACTGCTCTATATTAACTCTCAATTGCTAGATAAAACAATTGCTATTTTCATATAAAGCGAATCGTAATTTTATAGTAATGAAATTATATTTAAATTTTTATATTAATACATAATGAGAGGTGCAACTTTTAACAAGCTATCATTTATTGTGAACCTCGTCTACGCCTTGTTAAACGTTAAATACTTTTTTTATATAAAACTTAGAGTGCAGTTTCCCTCCACAGCTTTTTTAAAAAAAAACGTTTTATTTCATTTACCACTTTTTGTTAATGTGTTTTTTTTTTTTTCAAGTTACTAATACTGACAACGTGCAGGTTTAGAGGATTTTCATATTTTTTAACTATACCGACACGTTTATAAAAATTGTAAAAATTTGATCACAAGTTTTTTTTGTTGCATTTATAATATTTTTAGTGTGGTAGTACTACATGGGGGAATCTAAAAGAATCTTGTGAGCCCCAAAGCTTTTGAACCAATCGGATTAAATAAAAATTTGACATCGTGTGGATTATACCAATTTCGAATTTGTGTTTTTTAATTTTTATTTATTAATATAATATTTAATATTATTACTTATTATCAATTTTACTAAATTTATATAATATATAATTATATTTTTTAAATTTTTTTAATCTCTACATATAATTCCACTTTATAACTTTGTATTTGCTATTATAACATGTTAAATATATACATGTATTATATACTTACAAGGTAATTCAAACTTGTCTAATTTTTTTTCTATAATAATGTAAACTTTTATTTTTTTATATATACTGTAATTATAAACTTTTCATATCTTTCTTTTATATATAGATTCCGCACTCAGATAGCGTGACTGGAATATGTTCCACCGGAGCTTTTTATATGCTGACCTTTTGTGAAAGTTAAATAAAAGTTTATATTATATTAAGCATCGAATATATCAATAAATTATATTATTATTTTTTATGAGTTATTAAAGTTAAAACAGTCCACAGACCTTTGATATACCTTTATTAAGATCGAATAACTTTTTTGTGATACCTGCAAGCACAGTACTAAGTTGTTTAGAGCTTTTATAATTTTTCTAGTTTTTCCTAAATTGCGTATAATTATTGAAAACTCAAATAAATTTATAATATTAAGCAACTTATAACTATAATTTGCGCAATATATTTCTTCTATTTCACGATGCCTTAATAACTTGTGTGTTTTGCTTTTTTTATTAATTTTATTGGCTTAAGGATACAGTAATTTTAGAGTAAACAGTGTTTGCTATTTTTTAACTTTTATTGTACTCGACTGGAAGTAATCTTTTTTTAGAGGTATCTCATGACTTCACTTTCGCTGCGCAATTATCACTTCGCTATAGCACTTGTGAATCGGAACAGGACTAGTCTGTGAGCTGTTAAAAATTTGAACTGAAAAACGGAAACAAAGTTGGAAATAATTTAACAACTGCTCGCACTAAACTATACTGAAGCGCCCATGTACTTTTTTTACACTGAATCCTTTTGTGCACCAATAACCAGCTTATCATAAATTAAGCCGAAAAAGACTGCTTTTTTAATTATAAATATAAACGGTATATTCTGGTGCTCGATCGAGTCAGCAAACGCTTGAACTTTCGAGCTGTCAATTAGGTTAAAGCTTGCAAAATAAAACATATATTAGAAAGAGGGGAAGTAAACATTTTTAACTCAGTTTTTTCTTCTTCTACTTCTTACACTAAGATCTATTCTGATAATAACAAAACTGCAAAGTGACTCGCGCGAACAGCTCATTGGTGAACTCTTTAGCCGGCAGTGCGAGCGAGATAGCTTGCGCTTAAAGGGGATATTCAGCAACGTCTTGACTCGCGGCAGATGCGTATACATGATCGACTTCTTTCTATTAAAACCAGGCTAATCAACTTGTTGGAATTTATGTTAGTATAGTAATAAATTTTCTGAATTTTATAAGGATTGTTACCAAGGTGGAGGAATCTGAGTTGTGTTTTTAATAACTTTATAAAAATTTATTGCGCAAATTTAAACTTTAAAGTTGAGTAAGACTCCATCTTTACAAGAATCTTTAAGGCGCTCAGTTAATGTAAGTTATTATTTATAATATAAAAACGTAATAGTGAGTTTTTAAACGAAACCATATATATACGACGCACAAGCCTTGCTTAGTAACAATATACATGTTGTAGCAACTATAATTAAATAAAAATTAAACTTTTTATTTATAAATATTATAACATTTTTTAAATAACTATATGTTGTAAATTATCCGAAATTGAATTAGACGTTATCTATTAAAATTTGATCTTGAATAGAAGTTTTCATTCCATAATAGTTTTGAATAAGCTTCTAGTGAATTATTAATGGTAATGGTTCCGCTCTGAGAGTCTCCAAATCGACAGCATCATCTTCATCGACGTCGATTCCGCCTACTAACGCGATGTTATCGCCGCGAATAAGTTGCAAGCCGAGCTCATCTTTTTCGACTCCTGTATGTAATGAGAAAATTCTTTCGTGACAATCTTTTAATATAACATTCACTTTTTGATCAAAACCTAATAAAAGTGGGCAGGTTACATAAAGGTAATAAGTTTATTCTAGTAAAATAAAAAAGGTCCAAAACTTTTCAAATTGATATAATAAAAGTAAAATTATATATTTTGAGTATAAAGTAAAACCCAAAAATATATTAATGCGAGTTAAGGTTAAATAAACAAATTAAATAAATTAAATTACATCAGAAATAAACGTTCGCTTAAGCAATAAAGTAGTATTGCCCTAATACGATAAGTTAGTAGTAGATTTTTTTTTTTCAAGTTTATAAAAGAAAAACAAAAAAGTTGTATGAAAGAAAAAAATGCACTATACTTAGAAACGCAGTAATAAAAAAATTTTTAAAAATATAAAGAAATTACCACGGATGGGGAAAGAGAATTAAAATTATAATATGTACTAACAAAAATTGTAAAGAAATGATGGCCAATTAAATCAGTTAGCCAACTTATGTAAAAAAGCTTAATATCCAAGAAATAAACCAAAATTATCTTTCAAATTAAATTTAACAGGACTAAATGATGGGCCTACACCTTGCAGTGTCCCCACAAGAATTTTGCCTTCATTTGTTAAAATTAATACTCTTTCTTTAATATAATCTTTAAGAGATGCCATGATACTACTATCAGCAATACAATGGTAAATCTAAATGTTCTGTGGATCAAGTATTAGACTTAAGGAAACTACTAAATTAAAATAAAGCAAACAATATAATATAAAAAACAGTTGGTAGCAAGTTAAAGGTGAAAAGGTATAACATTTCACTTTTCACCACACATGTGCTTGACAAGGGCTACAAGTTGCCCTTCCCTACCAAATTATTAAAGAAAATTATAGTCAATCATAGCATAGATTTATTTGTATTGTAACTTTGCAATCCTCTCCACCACCCCAATAAAGTAGCGAGTTTATAGATCTGTCTATTAAAATTTATGAGGGCGAGGTTAAAAAACGCGATAATCAAAGACCGAAAAGGAGACTCGCGCCGGTGGGAAACGAACTCACGCCCTTGAGAATGCGCATCGATGCCCTTAACCGCTGAGCTACGATGACAACTCTCCATGCTGGTATGATGGTTTTTCCTATTTTAACCTGTTAATGTCAGCACTTACCACTTTAATATAGAAGTGCCGTTTTACCATTGAACTACACGTGTCTAAACGAGGAACATAGCTAACTTCTTTACCTACTAATTAAGGGATGTTATTAGACTGCTTCAGCTTATCTTTACGTTACAAACACATCCCTTTAAAATTAAGCATCGGACTCTCCTCTTATTCTTTTTCTCTCGTAGTAAAACCTTTAAATATAATGTGTATATCTTAATAATAGAAACAAGGTAGATTTTAGACCTGATAGAAAGTTTATAGACGAATAACATTAAAGCTAAAAAATTAGGGGTATGCTACCCATTTGATACCCCTCTAAAAAGGAATGAAATTCCCTTTTCGCGGTCCCATTTAATGGTTGTAAAGGATCCGCAAGATTTATTAAATAAGATACTTCATCAAAAGAAAATAATTAAAACAGGAGATGAATAACAACTGAACTCTATCACCTTCCTGTTTTCGTTAAGTCCCCTAAATAAAAATAGAAAAGGGGACTGTTTTCTTCGCTAACTATTTGCACACACCGAAAAATAATGCTTTACACCGTTAAAATGTCTGAATTTCCCTGAAATCTTCGGATCAGGTTAAGGCTTAATTTGATAAATTTTTAATTAAGCAAACGCCAGGGAGGGCAACCACAATCTATTCTTTACTAAATTTAATACGCACTAAGAGACCTGTATACTGCCGACCCTTCTTATCAAAATTGTAAAAGCTTAACATCTCGAAAAATCTAGGCTAAAGCTTCCTCCAACAAAGATCCTATATTCTTAACTAATTTAGACCAATTACCCTTCAGAAAAATTAACCCTTATCAAAAATAAACCTTAATTAATGAACTGATACTCAAATTTTACTATATAGCATAACATAGGGATGAAAAGAAAAAATATAAACGTTTTTAATAAATAATATCGATCGCAATAAAACGTTATATGAAGTGAATACCTTTCCAATGCTTTGACTCTAGAGGGAGAGAGTTGAACAAGTGGAAAAATCCTTTTTTGGAGTTGCGGTAAACTCGGCTGTCTTAACCCTTTAGTATATGTATAAAAAAGTATTTAAATTAGCTTAAAATGGTTAAATAAAGAAGTTACCATATTTTAACGCTCTTTGAAAAATTTATTATACCGTCTTTTATTTGTAAATTGCTTATAAAGAAATAAATGCAAGAAAGCGAAGTAATTTATTAAAGTTCAATCAATCTATGTCTACAATACTAATTAGTTATAATATTAAATTTGTAACCACTATATTTTAATGCATAACTTAGAGTATAAATAAAACAGTTGTATACAAAGATGAACATAAAAATAAGCTTTATATAAATTAATCAAAAAGAATTTTTTACTATTTTTATTAATTTTAGAAAATTTTCCTTTATTGCCATACAATATTTTATTATAATAATAATTTTATTTCGGAATTTAAATTGAAATTACATAACTAAATGCTTTTAAAAATTCAGGGAAAAAGCTTAACATGTTATAGTAAACAAAGCATTGTTCTATATAATTTTTTTTTGGGCGATATAACCTCCAATCATTGACACCTGTTAAAAGGCTTATGTACTGATCTTTTCTTATTAATGTATGACGGGATTGCTAATTTATGGTTGAAGGCCTTTTCTACTCGTCGGCGTGCTTTATTTACGTTTCGTGTGGTTACATGTTTATTATTATTAAATATTATTTGTATTTTTAATCTATTACTTATAATTTTAAATAATAGAAAGTTTTTAAGGTTTATCGTTGTATTATTAATTATGTCGGCGAAAGCTATTCGTGAGTACGATGGAAAGAAAATTATCTACAGGTATTTTGGTTAATCATAAGTATATAATATCATAAGTATATAATAATATTTAGAATACTAATATTATAAAGATCAATCATTGTTAGAATTTGTTGGAGTTAACTATACTTTTTTTTTACTCATTAATGTTATTAGGTTCTGTTAGTTTTACACACTTTATTATTTTCGTTATTTTTAAATTATATTTAACAAATATAAGGCCTTTTAAAAAATACTCAAATTAGTTAAAAAGACAAAAAATAGTAGGTTAAATTATTTAGTATTTTATAAGGGTTTTTGAATTTTTTTATTATTATAAAATTTATTTTATTTTTTAGAGCATTTCAAGATTTTGGATATAATAGTAATTCTGAGTTTAAGTCGGTGTTAATTTCCCCTTCGACTTTGTTGACCCATCTTCCGGTTTAATTATTATATAATATTTTTTAATTATTAATTTTTTTAAGAGTTGAGTTTTTTGACTATATTTTTTTATAAAAAAAATTGTAGAAGGACCATCCTTGGCTTACCTCCGAAAAACTCGTTGTTAAGCCTGATCAGCTCATCAAGCGCCGTGGCAACTTTTTTTTTTGAATTTATTTTTAAATTTTATTATATAATTTTTAAATGTTTAGGAAAATTGGGGCTGGTCAAAGTAAATTTAACTTATTCTGAAGCTTGTCAGTGGATTGAAGAAAAGCGTGGATCTGAAATAAAAGTGAGTACAAGATTTATTTAGAAGAATTACGATATATTTTTTTAGTTTTACTTAAAGTTATATATAAATAAATGGCATTACTTTTTTTATATTTTTGGAAATTGCATTGTTTTTTGAATCTACTCTTGCTTTTTATTTTTGTATATATTTTTTAATAATTTTTTATAATATAAATTTTTTTAAATATTTGTTCACTATTAAAACAGCTTATTTAATTTTGGACGGTATAAGGTTTATATTAGTGTGTTCTATTTTCAAAATAAAAATCTAATTTATATAGTTTTCTTTTAAAGAAAATGTAAATGTAATTGTCGTTTATATAATTAGTTTGTGTTTAGTAGAAGTTTTTCTATACAAATATTTTAAAATTTTTTAAAAATAGTATAAATTAAATTATTTTTTATTTAATTTGTTACTTTAGTTACTGCTATCTTTTTGTGAAAAAAAATAATGAATTTTTTGTTATAAAATTATTATGATCAAATTTGGATTATTTATATAACTTAATACTTTAATTAAAAGATTGGTATATGTTTATAGACGAGATTTTTACTTTATGCTTTGTTTGCCGTAGTTAATAATCTTACTACTATTAGTATAAGAAAGTACTTATTGCTGAAGATCTTTTATGGAGATTATTGTTTTATAACTTTTAAATTAGATTGGCAATCTTAAAGGAAAACTGGAACATTTTATTATAGAACCTTTTTGCTCTCATTGGCAAGATGAAGAATACTATATGAGGTTTATATTATTATATATTACTATTTATATTATTATATACTACTATTATTATTATTTATCTTTTTCAGCATCTACAGTGTTCGTGAAGGAAGCAAAGTACTTTTTTACCATGAAGGTTTGTTATATATACATAATTTATTGTTCTTTATGAACTTATTATTATTATATTACTATATCAGGTGGCGTGGACGTTGGCGATGTGGATGTTAAAGCAGAAAGTGTTACAGTTTTTAGTGGAGATCTGGTTTTATTAATAACTCTTATTTTATTTTTTATAGAATATAATTATTAATTACATATTATATACTTTTTTACTTTATAAATGTTTTTAAAGTTTAAATTATTTGTTTTTTTATAACCTGTTTAATAAACTTATAAAATAATGAGTTCGTTATCCCCGCTAAGAGTTTATAGAAAAGTTTAAAATTTATTATTTTATAAATTTTTTCATTCTCACATTGATTGTTGAATCCAATAAGGATCCTTGTGTGTGACTAAACCCTTATAACTATTGTAGTCTTTTTCATTATATTTTGACTAATTTAGAATCGACTGATATGAATTTTTTATTCTGAGAGATTTTGTATACTTAATAAATTTTATTAAAATTTTAGAAAAACAATATTTTTATATTACTAAATTTGTTAAAGTTGACCAATGAGGATACATATATGTACGTAATTAGTCTAACTATTTAGTTATACTTGATAATAATGAAAATATGTAAGATATTTAACCTGTTCAAGATTTCAAATTTAAAAACTTCAGCAAATTTTTTAATTTTACTACTTAATTTAATAATAGTTTGTGGATTTATTCTCCAATGGGGATTCTTACATATGCCAATACTTAAACTTAAATAACTCATAGTTTAGTACGAAAATTTAGTTTGAATAGTATACTTGAATCATTACATCATTAAAGTTTTGTTAAAATTAGAATAAAATTTAATTATTTTATAATATATTTTTTATATTAATAATAATATTAACTTTGATTACAACATCAGAAAATTTTTATTATTAAAAAATATATAATATAATATTAATATTATATTTTAGGCAAATATTTTTTTATCTGAATTTATATATAAAAATTATTTATCTATTTTATTAATAAAATCATGATCGTTAATAAATATCATAAATTTTTACGTAATTTATTATTAAGTCGATATATGCGGATTGTTATATGCGACTAGAAAATTAAACTTTATTAAGTTTTTTTTAGGAAAGTAAATATAAAATAATATTATAATAACTTTAAAATTATTTAGTTGACTGATTCTCATATTTCAGTTCTTTTAAAGAACCTTTCGAAGTATCAACGTGAACTTGTTGGTAAGCTCGTGTTTTTATGCTTATATATTTCTCTGGTGTAACTTGTTTATTTCAGGCGTTTTTTTGAAATTAATCTTCAATGTTTATTATGAATTGCATTTTACGTATTTGGAAATCAATCCTTTTGTTGTAAAGGATAACAAAGTGTTGACTTTTCAGAAGCGTCATGCTATTTATAACAATAATATTTACTCTTCCACGAGGTCCATCTTTTGGATTTAGCCGCCAAGCTGGACGAAACCGCGCGCTTTGAAGTTGGCACCCGTTGGGGGGACATTGACTTTCCCGCGCCGTTTGGGCGTATGTTAACTACTGAGGAAGTTTCTATTGCCGACCTAGACGCCAAGACTGGCGCCTCGCTTAAGCTGGTTGTCCTTAATAAGCATGGTCGTATATGGACGGTATGCTTGGCTTTGCCTGGTAGGATAATACTTGTTAACGTGATTGTTCACGACCTCTACATATTGTAGATGGTTGCTGGCGGGGGAGCCTCGGTGGTCTATGCGGACACCATTTGCGATCTTGGATTCGCTAGCGAGCTTGCCAATTATGGTTTTCTTATAACAGAATTACTCTTTGCAATAAGCCATGAGCAATGACTTTTTAAAATTCATGTCACTGGGGAAGGTGAGTACTCTGGAGCGCCTAGCACTCAGCAGACTTATCAGTATGCCAAGACTATTCTTTCTCTCATGTGCGCTGAGCCTCATTCCTCCGGAAAAGGCAAAGTTTTGATAGTTGGCGGCGGCATTGCCAACTTTACAAACGTTGCAGAAACTTTTAAGGGTCTTCCTCTTATTTTATTGGTGGGCTTACTATTAAAAAACACTTTTTAAAGGTCTCGTTATGGCATTGCGAGAGTTCGATACTAGACTAAAAAGAGTGAACGGAAAAATATACGTCCGTCGCGGCGGCCCTAATTATCAAGAAGGTTCCGCTCTTCTATATAATAACCGTTCAGCATTAAAAATAATGACTACTATTTTTACTTAGGATTGCGTATTATGAGAGAATTGAATGCCGAGCTGTCCGTCCCTATAGAAGTGTACGGACCGGAAACTCACATGACTGCTATCGTTTCTCTGGCTTTGGACCTTAACCAAAAGTCATTATTTACCTATGTTGCTTTTTATTGATTATTTATTTTTGTTAGTTAGGTAATATTGTAATATTTCAAGGTTTGTAGTGCTTTTTTTATTATAGCGTCGCTCCCTGTCCGCCGGACGATGACGCGTTTCCTTGTAGTCTATTGAGTCTTGGTGACGTAAAGCCGCAGAACTCACATGAGCGGAAGTCTCTGAATAACCAGGAAAAAGAGGTAGTTAATAGCCTACCCGCGGAGGTTTTTCCTATTGGTTTATTAACCTTCTACTCTGCTCACTGTGTATTATTACTTTTTTCTCGAAGCCAATTTCGTCCAATAGCGCTTATTCTGGAGAGCTTTTTACTCGAGACACCACCTGCTTAGTATATGGCATGCAAACACGTGCTGTGCAGGGTTTTTTCTTTTGCTAGTTTCCTTTATAAGCCAAAAAACACGTGTCCTTCTTGGCGAGTAGGAATGCTCGATTTTGACTACATGTGCTTACGTGAAAAGCCCTCTGTTGCTGGCATGGTAGGTGTCCATTTAAGTTTCTATTGGTTATTACCTGATTTCGGGTTTGCATTAGGTGTATCCATTTGGCGGGTTTCATACCCAAAAGTTTTATTGGGGTACCAAAGAAATATTGCTACCCGTTTATCCAAGCGCGAGCTATGCCATTGAAAAGCATCCCTCAGTAACTTGTGTCATCAACTTTTCTAGTTTCCGCTCGGCCTATGATAGCACGTCGGAGATTATGAAGTACCTTTTTTAACCAATAAGAATAAATTGGTCCACATGGCCCTTGCAACCTACTGTTTTTAGATACTCCAATCAAATTAAAGTCATTTCTATTATTGCCGAAGGGATTCCTGAGAAGCGGACTAAAGAGCTCAATAGGCAGGCTAGGATGGCCGGGGCACGTTTACCAATAATTATAATAAAGAAAATGAATTGAACTTATTAATAGGTGACCATTATTGGTCCAGCTACTGTTGGAGGCATAAAGCCTGGTTGTTTTCGGATAGGAAATACAGGCGGTAATGCTGTTATTGTGTTGTAGTAAGATTATAATAATGATGATATTTTCCGCGTGGAAGGCATGCTGGACAATATTCTAGCGGCTAAACTCTATCGCCCCGGCTGCGTGGCCTATGTTTCCCGTTCTGGCGGCATGAGCAACGAATTGAACAACATTATTTCCAGGTTTCATCTACTCTCCCATGTTTAGTGGATGTCATTAGCTTCATTATCGCTATTTTGCCCATTAGAAACGCCGATGGGGTATTTGAAGGGATTGCTATTGGCGGAGATAGGTTCCCTGGGTCGACCTTTATTGAGCACCTTCTTCGCTATGAAAAGCAAGATGGTTGGCTCTTTTTCTTTCATTCTTTTTAATGTTAATATCGCGCACGAAGGCTGTAAAATGATGGTGCTTTTGGGCGAGGTCGGCGGGGTCGAAGAGTATGCCGTGTGCGAGGCTCTTTCCTCTGGTGCCATCACGAAGCCGGTCTTCATTTCTATTGGCAGCATGGCGTTTATGCGTTCTTTATTGGTTACTTACCTTAGGTTGTTGCATGGTGTATTGGCACTTGCGCCAGTCAGATCGCCTCTGAGATTCAGTTCGGCCACGCCGGCGCTCTTGCTAATGATGAGCAAGAAACTGCTGTCGTGAAGAACCGAGCTCTAAAGCAAGCGGGCGCACATGTTCCTGAGAGTTTTGATTCGTTGGGGACCTGTATTCACGCGGTCTACTGTAAACTTTTGGCTGACGGCGTCGTGCAGCCATTGGTTGAGCCGTCTCGGCCGACCGTTCCCATTGACTATGCGTGGGCGCAACAGCTGGGCTTGATTCGAAAACCAACTTCCTTTTTGGTATATATTGAAATTTTTTTCGAATTACAAGAATAATCAAATTTTTTCATGTATTCAAGTGTTTTTTTTTGAAAGTATAACAATATCTAATTTGAAATAATCACTCTTTTAAAAATCACTGGATCATAATCCTCCAGTTATATTTAAGTATTATAAACCATCAATTATAGTCGTCGATTTCTGATGAACGTGGCGAGGAGCTTATATACTGCAACATGACGATTTCCCAAGTTATGGAACAAAATCTTGGGATTGGCGGTACTTTGTCGCTACTTTGGATGAAAAAGAGGTACATTATATGCCCAAATCTGAAAGCGCTTCCAAGTAACCCTTTTTCTTATTAAAGACTGCCAGATTACGCTCATAAATTTATAGAAATGTGCCTTATTATAACAGCGGATCACGGTCCTGCCGTTTCCGGCGCCCACAACACCATCGTCACTGCGAGGGCTGGAAAAGACCTAATTTCCTCCATTGTCTCTGGTGCCCTTTGCTTTAGTTTTTTTGCTGATGCCTTATAACCAACCAACTCCTTTAAAAACGTAAGGAATGCTGACTATTGGAGATCGCTTTGGCGGGGCATTGGACGCAGCGGCCCAGCAGTTTTCGCAAGCGTATGACATGGGCTTAACCCCGTTGGAATTTGTTAAGAGGATGCGGGACGAAAAAAAGTTGATCATGGGTTATTTTGTTTATGGCAACTGGGGGATTTTTTATTATGAGTGCTCAATCGCTACCAGGCATTGGTCACCGCGTTAAAAGCGTTAATAATCCTGACAAACGTGTCGAGCTCATTAAGACTTTTGTCAAAAACCATTTTGTGAAAACTCCTCTTTTGGATTTTGCTCTCGACGTCGAAAAAGTTGCTTTTTATAAATCCTTTTACGCAATTAAGTATTGAATGTTTTTTTTAAGTTAACAACAACTAAAAAACCAAACCTTATACTCAACGTGGACGGATGTATTGGCGTTGCTTTTGTAGATCTTCTTCGGTTTTGTGGAGAATTTACACCTGAGGAGGCTGACGAGCTGATTGGCGCAGGAATGCTCAACGGACTTTTTGTTTATGGTCGTACTCTCGGTTTCATTGGCCACTTTCTTGATCAGAAGCGCCTTAAGCAAGGCCTCTACCGTCATCCGTGGGACGACATCAGGTTTGTTATAGTAATAATTATAAATGCTGTTTAATAAAATAATGTTTATAATAAACAGTAAATTAATAAACAGGAAATAAAGAGAGTTATAATAAAATCTTAACAAATGTATTAAACTTAATAAAGAAATAAATATAAATAGCGATAATAATTTAATAATAATTAATAACTATACAGCTATGTAATGTCGGAATTCAGCCATGAAAATTGAAGTATTGAATCATCTGCACAAGTAAAATAAGATATTAATAAAAACTATTATCATATTATAATCACGTTTTTTTGCTCTAATTTAGGAATAATAGGCGTTTTACTAGATTTCATAAAGAATGTGTTTGTGTACATTATAAAATATATGTTCGGAATAATTTTAGTTATTGAAAATCACGATTTTTATAAAATCCCTCTCAAGTTTTTTTTAGTAGGACAAGCTAACTTTCATCTTCAGAGTGGTACTTAGTTTTGTCTATTAAAAGAGATTTCGAGCATCTGGAAAAAAAATTTCTTATTGTCTTTTTACTCACGTTAGTTCATTTCTATACTCAATTCTATATTCACATGTCATTTTTGTATCTCTTATACGACCTTTTAACTCGAAGTAATCTTGTTGATCTCTTAGCATTGCCACCTTGACATCCAAGTTTTGAAGCTAAGCCTTGAACTACCTAGCTTGGTAACTACTAAGTTGAGACAACCACCTATACCTCAAAACATCCTCCGGTTTTACCATGAGCTGTCCTTATTGTGCTACTGTCTTTATTGCTTTTTATTAAAGAAATATCACTATAAGTTTGAATGGTGACTACCTTTAGTAAATAATAATAATTAATAACTATAATATCCTATTCACTAGGACTGCTCATCTTGAGATTAAATGGATAACCAAAAATATATATGGGTGAGAGATCTTCCCGAGCATGCATAATTTAAGGTGTTTTAAAGGGAATTAGATGCGTAAATCAGTTATTATTAGAGGAAAGTAATTTAAAATATAACATCTGCTAGTTTCATCCTAGTAGTTATTAAAATCCTTAGTATTAAATAAAATCTAATGTTATCTGTATAAAGCCTTACCTAAAATATTGGTATCTCTCATAAATCACTAGGTTATTGATTGGTGGTTTAATAAACATAATACAATCTGTTTGGTCAAACACACTATCTCCTAAAGTAGTTCAAGGCTTGATGTAATATGAGTTTAAAGATCCTTTTTACAATTAGAATAGTTTCTATTTGGTCTAAGTACTGGAAAGGAAATAAAAATTAACTTTAGTTTTAGGTTAGCTTACTAAGTTACGAACAACGCAGAGATAGTAGGATCAGTTCGAGCCGTGAGTTCAAAATTTTCCGAGCAGGTATAAAGCTATATCCTTACTGGTAACTAGTACTAACTGCTAAAGTTTAATGGGCACTAAATTGACACCGTTCCATGAATAAACCGAGTGTAAAATTCCCTGAAATGATAAAAAATTAAGATAAATTATATGATATAACAATAAATGATGATACAAAAATAATAATGAATTACTCTCAACGAAACATTTTTCACCACAGAAAGGGTGCTTTGGGGTACGATGCTGTCTTAGTAGTCATTATGAGTCTACTACTAAGGCTAGACTCCCGTGCTTCTGTTGAACTTAATTAAATTTGACCAATGTTCTGATTAAAGTAATAACATCTAAACGGTACTAAATATTTTAACAGAAATATAACGAGCTTGGGTTAAATAATTAAATGGGAGCTTAAGGCCTAGTGTAGACAAGATTACTGTCTTTTATAGGAGCCTTCCTCATTAAATGATATTATTATTAGTGGGAATATTTGGGGAAATATTTACATTAGTTAATAAAGAAAGAAATAAATAGATAGTCTTTCAGCTATTGGTAGAGTTCTTTAATTGTAGGTTTCTACAATAGTAAAAAAAGCTAGCCTAATGAGTAAAATATTAATTACGTTCTTAACTTTTTATTATGACGCTGGAGCAATAGATACCCGTTGATGCAAGGACTATATTAACTATAAGGGTTTTAGGGTGCTTACCTATCTAAGGATTTTACAAAATTATCAGTTCGTAGTGCTAGTTTACACCTCTGACCAAAGAAGCATGTTAAAATTCCATGAGCTAAAAGACTATGTGGAAGGAAAACGATAGTTTTCCTGAAGTGTAAATGGTGCTTAAGTTAATAGAAATGTTAACTTATTAAAGTTATTGCCTGTCTGTATCCATTTCTTACACAAAGGCTGGGCAGAACTACTAATTGTACATGGATTTACGAGCTAACTTAGTTGGGTTAGTTCTATATCAAGGGAGGGATTGTAATATTTGCTGACTGACAACCAGTTATAAATTTAAAAATATATACAACGCGAGCTTAGCGCAACAGAATGTTCAAGCCACACGTTGCGCTTGCATTTATTTATTATTAACTTCATATCTATGTGCGAGCATTCATTGGACTTTGACCACAGCGATCTAGGCTATTACACGGTCATGATCTAAAGTTAATTTTTTCCATTTCAGCTGTGCTGAGCGACCTCATGGCGAGAACACCGTGCACTTGTTTAGTTGTATTCGTTTGTTAGCTATTCTCGGTCTTTTCGTCTACTGCTTGTACACTCTTTAGTTTAGCAAGGATGTTTTTGGTCTCTAAGACACTATCGTATAAAAAGTCCATCTAAGAGCCAAGCCCATAGTTAAAATTTAGTAGTTTTTCTACTGAGTTTCCAGCGATCTGCTTGAAGGAGTCCCAGGCTTTGTTTGCTCTAATCTCGACATTGATCCGCCACTTGGATGTGCATTTAAGGGTGGATTGCATTGTGATGACTTAGTAATGCTCTACTATCCTTGGCTTCTTTTGCCTTAAGCTTAATAGTAAGGTAAAGTTTAATCTGTTTTTCATCTGGTATACAAAGTAGAGCACTTCCTGTGGTATGTATTAACTTTTATTTTAACCTCTAAAGAATGCTCACAACCCAAGGAACGCGACTATGGTTTTCGAGCTATTAACTTATGCCTTTATAGTTGTCGTGTACCTCGGAGCTCTCTAGCGTTGCTTCACATACGGTTCGTAAGACTAGCTCTTAATGGTAAAACCTTGCTTAAACAATAGATCTTAGGAAGGTGCTAACTTTCCTCCAACTGGTACAGGTTGTGTTATGGTTCTGGTTTCCCTGTGACGGTATTTTAGCGGAAGAGTTGTGTATGCCGCTGGCCTCTTGTCTACTGATGCCACTTTTAGTATACCAGCAGTATTACCCACCTTTCTCGGGATGTCGTCTTTTTTACGAACCCCGCGAGAACTTTCAAACTAACTTAATGGAAAGAGTGAGTAACTTATGTAGTACTGCAAGACTGGTGAGTAGGGCTCTCTTTCTTTAATGTATGTAGCTGTACAAGTATGCTCTAATGAGTGCAACCCTCTTCTTAAAACTATGTTTTATTTTTTTAGGGCCGTTAGTTAGGTGGGTGTAATAATTTTGCTAAACAATAAAAAATTTAATTAATCGTTTTTTGGTAATTTTTATCATTATTTTAAAAAAGTTAAACTCTCAACTCTATAATTGCTTAATTATTGTTTCTAAAAGCGTTTAGTACATTAAGTTAGGTAGTAGTTGCCTAATAAAAATGGTATTGCTATTGACAGTTAGTATATTAATATATGACGAAAAGGTTATTTCTTGTATTCGAAAAATAAAAAAAAAATTACGTGAAAAGTATATATAATAAACTCTATTTCAGACTTCACAAGAGTTCATGCCCAGTTTAAACAATTCATATAAAAATAAAATTTAAGACAGTTTATACATTAGAGTAAAGGAGTTGCTTTTGATAAAAAAAGGAAATTAGTTAAATAAGGTAAAACGGAAGTTAAAAGGTTCCTGATTATTATAATAGATTATCCAAGAAATATGCTAGATTTTTTCTTGAAAGAGATAGAACTAAAAGGAAGGAGAAAAAAAAAGCATATATTTCTTCTCTCGACTTTTATTCTGCATTAAGCATTATTTTTTTCCCGCGTGGCTAGGTCAAGTATTAAAAAATTTTTTGAAGAAAACAAAATAGAAAGAGAGGGGAAACTTAAGCAGTTAAAAGAAGGGTAAATAAAAATAAAATAAGAAATTTAATTTTCTGAGAAATAATAAGGTAGGCATAACCTTTGGTTTTAGCGGTGATTATACTAGTGACAGATTAAAATATTAACTCGCCACAAAAACAAACCCAAAACAATCAAAAATTGATTAACCCTTTTTTGGTGCTGGAAAATATAACTCTTTGTTAGTGTGCTAGAAATAAAAGTACCATTGTTACTGATGGGTTTTTGCAAATAAATTTCTCAATTTTTTGTAGTAAGTTTTCTGCCTGTATCATTGGTATGGACTTTTACTTTTAAGTTGAACACTTTATATAATTTACGCACACCACTTTATCAGGTACGGTGTCAAATAGTAGTAAACGAAGGAACCAAGCCTTTGCTTTTAAAAACTAAAGAAGGATTAAAATTGAATATGTAACGGGTAGCGAAGCCGTTGGTTCGAGAAATTGTAAATTTATTTAATTGTTAGTTAAGACCCTCACTCCCTTAGTCCGAGTTGACTGTAGCGCTTATAACTATTAAATTGATTTAAAGAGAGGTAGTAAGTTTATTGATGTATTTTGCAACTGCACCTAAAAGAAAAAGATTAAGAAATTGGGCCTGCAATTCATGCGTATAATACATAAATAATTAACTAAATTAACTATATGGTAATGTGTGTGTACCGTAATAAATTTCCGTGCTTATAACGTGATAAAATTATATAAAGAAGAATTACTAAAAAGTTCTATTTATTAGTTGGTCGCTCCTCTTCAGACACTGCGGACTAATGAACTTCGAGACCTCGGCTAATAAGCTTCCTTGGTTTTTTATTGTTTTAATTAAAAGATTTTTTGGGTTTTCAAGCTCAACCAATGATCTGGCTTGCTGTTGCTTTTCTATATATGGCAATTTTTAATTATATTATTGTTTTAGTTTGTGTTTTGTATCGTCTTAAATTTTTATTCATCACATCTTAATGTTATGTTGTTGTTAATAATTAGTTTTCAGTGGTTAGTTAAGGATTTTTTGGTGTTTTTAATTGAGATGATTTTTTAATCATTATATTTATATTGTTAGAGGACGGGGTTTCCAAAAACTTTATAGTTTGAGTTTTTACTTTAGCGATTGGTAGGCTGTATCCACGTGTCTAGTCTACTATTAGGGGCCATCG